AGTGTCTGACAAGTTGTGTAAGAATGGTATATAATACCGACAAGATGAAATTAAGACACATGTGCAACATGTGTCTTCAGGTTATGTCCTGGAATTTGTATTGATAAAGCCACTGGATGGCGAAACGTCTACAATAAAGATACCCAGATGTTGCACATGTGTCTTAATTTCACTTTGATGACACTCTCCCTGGTGCCCCGCTTAAGTCTTAAGCTGTTGCTGAGATTTCTGAAAAATAAATCTCTGACTTCAAACGGATGGAAACCAGGATCAATAACATTGATGCTCTTGATGTCTTCTATCTCGTCACTAGGTTACTCCTCCTTAAGGTAACTTACTTCTTTTACGATGCTCTTCATCATTTGGCAGCATCAGACTGTAATAAAGTTGGTAGAATTACCTACAATATGTAAAGTAAAAGGACACAAGTGCGACTAATGTGACATTTTTCTTGTGGCAACGTTTCGTTCTCCAGGAGCTTTTCTCATCAAAGACTGCAAGAAAAGAGCTGTAGATGAATGGTTCAGAGAACCGACACGTTGATAAATTAGACACATGTGCAACTCTTGGGTATCTTTATTGAAGAAACGTTTCGCCACACAGCGGCTTCACATATGCCGTATTCTATTCAAGACTGATGGACTGACCACATCGACTCAAGGCTGAGGGACTGATTACCTCATTCTCCTTCTGTTCTTCAAGTTTCTCCTTTGTATGGACTGATGAAGCCACTGTGTGGCGAAACGTTTCCTCAATAAAGTTACCCAAGAGTTGCACATGTATCTAATTTATCAAGAAAAGAGCTGAAATTAAGACACAGGTGCAACATCTGGGTATCTTTATTGTAGACGTTTCGCCATCCAGTGGCTACTGTCTTCAAGTTATGTCCTAGAATTTGTATTGATAAAGCCACTGGATGGCGAAACGTCTACAATAAACATACCCAGATGTTGCACATGTGTCTTAATTTCATCTTGTCGGTATTATATACCATTCTTGCACAAGAAAAGAGCTCTTCAGATCATTAATTCTCCACGCACCAACACCACTCCTAACAAAGTTATAATTCTTCCCAACAGCCAGGTTGCGCTGAACGTTTCTAAAGTGCTTTCACAAGCTAACACCAGAGTCGCCATCGCTTCCAGCACTTCAATAAAGTGTGGAAAAAGACACTTATGTACGGTTCAGAACATTTATTAAAGGAAACGTTTCGCCACGAGTGGCTTCTTCAGTCCTAATGAACATTAAAATGGTATAAAATACCGACAGGTTGCTAGGTGATTATCAAATGGTATACAATACCGACAGATTGGTAAATAAGACACATAGGCAACATTTAGGCAACTTTATTTCGAAACGTTTCGCCTACCCAGTAGGCTTCTTCAGTCGAGTACAGAAATTAGGCAGGAGCAGTAGAGATGTGAAGACTACTACTACTCTGCACCTCTCCTTCCGACAGTATTTAAGTCTCTACACTGTCGCTTGATCTTCAGTTAGTTCCAGACTATGGAACAGAACTTCTCCAGGCTGAGGGACTGACAGCCTCAAATCTACGACTTCAAGGGCGATGGACTGATTACATCGTCTTCACATCTCTACTGCTCCTGCCTAATTTCTGTACTCGACTGAAGAAGCCTACTGGGTAGGCGAAACGTTTCGAAATAAAGTTGCCTAAATGTTGCCTATGTGTCTTATCTACCAGGTTGTTAGGTAAGTTCTAATAGCCACTCGTGGCGAAACGTTTCCTTTAATAAATGTCCTGAACTGTACATAAGTGTCTTTTTCCACATCTTGTCGGTATCACCAGACCATTTCCTCACTTCAGTTAAGGATCTAACCAGGATAAAATCCAAGCACCATGAACCAGTCAATGCAGGGGTTTACACTATACCCTGTAGAGGCTGCGACAAGATTTATGTAGGTGAAACAGCAAGAAACCTCGACACCCGCCTAAATGAACACATTTATGCCTGTAGGAACGATAACTTGAACAACGCCTGTGTACAACACCGAAATTCCACCAATCATCTCATGAAATTCAGGGACGTACAATTAGTGATGAAAGAAACTAATTTCCGCAGACGCAAGTGCCTTGAATCAGCACTAATAGTTGTTTCTAATACAAATAAACAAAACAAAGGCAGCTTCACCATCTCTGAAATCTTAGCAAGAATCCTCCTGAAAACAGTAAAACCCTGCCATCACATAGTCTCTCCTGTTAATATACACAAGCACATTACAGAGGATGAACATTGAAACAAGCCTTCTCTAATTCAACCTCCAATAGAAATATTTGTCTAATTAATTTTTATGCTATGTATGTATGTATAATGTTCGCCAAGACCAGGGTCCTGGCACGGGTCTTAATCTTGAGATGACCCGTCTCTGGCTCCTGAAGGAAAATTGATTCTTCACTGTTGCAGCATGAAAAAAATGGTATAAAATACTGACACAATGGAAACAAACAATTGCATTTTTGAACATTAAAATGGTATAAAATACCGAAGGTTGTTAGGTAAGACACATATGCAACAGTTAGGTATCTTTATTTCGAAACGTTTCGCCTACACAGTAGGCTTCTTCAGTCGAGTACAGAAAAGTTGATAGAAGCAGAAGATACTTGAAGACGATGTAATCAGTCCATCACCCTTAAAGTTTTGAGGTGGTCAGTCCCTCAGTCGGGGAGAGAGCATTGTTCCATGGTATGAAACAATATCGTTTCATACTATGGAACAATGCTTATCGCATGGGTATCGCATCACTACACCCTTGGTGACCTTCTGCCGAGAATCCAGCTCCTCCAGGGTGAAGGAGCGTTCTGTCTCCATGATTTTCTTCAAGGTGATATGCATTTCCCTGTTGATAGGAGTCAGTATTGGTTCTCCCCTCAGGTTGAACCATATCTTGAACCTCAGTTTGTGCCGTGTTTCCAGGTGTGTAACCACGCCATAGTGGGTTTTGTGTTCCCCATAAGCCTTTACCTTGAATCTGGAAGGTGATTTGAGCTGGTTTACCTGCTCCTTGGAGGGACGGCGTGTCTTACTGTTCACATTGATCCATCCTTCCGTATTCTCTGGCTGCATGGTTAGGCTTGTCAGAACTGGAGACTTTTCCTCTGATGACACGGAGTGGTCTCGCAACTTCTTCGCTAGGATTGCACCCCACATTTCTAAATCCGAGTCGTCCATTTCTAAATCCCAGTCATCCGTCATGTCCCTGGAACATCGTGACCTCTTCCTTTCGGCAGAAGCCATGTGTCTGTCCACGTGGTGCTGGACTGTGATGCTGAACTGTACCAAGTGCTAATGAATGATATCAATTTTTATGTTGCCCAAGTAATAGCTTTTATATCCTTTTACTCATGTACAAATTAACTGTAATACTACTACTGCTACAACTTATATCGCTACTAGTACTACTACTACTACTACTACTACCACCACTAGTATTACACCTTACTCTAAGCCTATATATATCATCTGTGTCCATGTACTGTTTGTAACGGCTTGACAAAAGCCCCTGGGAGAGCGAAACGTTGCCACAATAAAAATGTCACATTAGTTGCATCAGACTGGGAGACCGTGACTACCTCTAGAAGTCCATGCTAGAACAATTCCTAAAGGTTTCCTTCAGTGAATCACAATGGTAAAAAGCCACACTTCCAGTCAGATTACTTTTCCCCTGCAGCCTTTTTATTCTCCTCTGTCATTGATCCAACAAGCTGGTGGGAAAGAAATTCAACCTTAAATCATGTTCGTGGGACCCAAGTTTACAGCAGCATGTGTGACATCCTGTCATGAAGAACAGGAAGAGAATGAGGTAATCAGTCCCTCAAACCCTTTAGTCGATGTGGTCAGTCCCTCAATAAAGATACCCAAGAGTTGCACATGTGGAAGATTGAGGACACTTATGCAGTATATGGGGAATCTTTATTCAGGAAACGTTTCGCCACACAGTGGCTTCTTCAGTTTCCCAATACAAAGAGGAAGGGCCCTAAGGAGAGGAGGGAGTATGAGGTAATCAGTCCCTCAACCTGGAGTCGATGTGTTCAGTCCATCAATCTTGTAGAATGTTTCAGCTAGGGTCGTAGACGTGGCTTATATACTGTAGTGAGGTGGGGGTAAGAGGCGGAGGCGGGGTCTAGTGGTACCATCACTGTCGAAGTGGTCTTGTCCAAGTTGAGGGACTGTTTCCCCTTTACTCTCCTCCCCCTTACCCCTTCCTTTTTGTTTTGGGGACTGTGAACCCATGTTGGGGGAAACTTTCCGAATAAAGATTCCCATATGCTGCTAAGTGTCTCAATTTCAACTTGTCGTTTTTCAAACCTTTCATCACAGTTGACATGTGTCTAATTTATCAACATGTGGGGTTCTCTAAACCATTCATTACAAAGAATCCTGTCAGCAGACAATGTGATCAGCTGAAACTCAACTCTAAACAGTAAGTGAGCAGCCCCATCATGGAAATGGCTTCAGTTGTCTTTTTTATTTCCATAACTTCAGATACTTTAAAAGCTTCTAGGGCCGTAACTACTGCAGTGCTTTATTTGTTGGGGGGTTTAAAAGGGTTTTTAAAGAGTTTATGGTGCATGTTACTTCTTATCCCCATTAAAATTTTTGATCTTAAAAAAAAAAGTTATTTTAATGTTCGCATGTATACACAGAGTGACTCACCTCAAGGATTGAAAAAAGTCACTCGTAACGAGAGGTTTCCCCCGTCAGGTCCTAACCTGTGTATAAATTTCTGCATTTAGTACCTTACGACAAAAAATTTTCTTGAAAATGAATGGTTCAAAGAACCGACACGTTGTTTATTAGACCATGTAAACTTTGGGACTGTTTACCTCATTCCCCCTGTTCTTCAAGTTTATTTTGTAGGGATGATGAAGCACTGTGTGGCGAAAATTTTCCCTAAATAAAATACCCAAGAGTTGACATGTGTCAAATTTAACTTTTATGTTCTTGTTCATATGTATAACGTAATTTATATTGGACATACAGGGGCGGTGACGGTATGCAGATTGTGGTAGTTTTTCCCAATCATCACAGGCGCTGCCGAGGCCTGGGTCGAGCTTTTTGTGAGACTCTTTTTCCCAGAGGAGAAAAGGTCAGTGTCTCTCATGTTGTTAATAACCATTTTAAAACATTTGTTTTCTTTTTATCGAAACTTTTCGTTGTGCACAGATTTCCCACAGTCAAGCTTGTGCAGCAGACTTTCATGTAAGCTTGTGTAGCAGATTTTATAGTCGTTTGGCAGAAGATTTCCTTAGCCAAGTTGTGCAGTAAACTTCCTAGTAAAGTTGTGCAGTACACTTCCTAGTCAAGCTTGTGCGTACACTTCTACCAAGTTGTGCAGTAGATTTCCCATAGTAAAGCTTGTGCAGCAGACTTCCATAGTCAAGCTTGTGCAGAGATTTCTTTAAAAACCTAGGATTTAAAAATGGCCTGTTTCCCAGGGTAATGGGAGCAAATAAACAAGTAGAAAAGTTTGCTTATTTATCCTTACCAATATAACAGCAATTTTGTACACTTGTACAGTGTAAATATATGCCTCCACGGAAAGAAGGAAAAAAATAGAAGCCACAAGATGCACCCCGTGTTCAACCGCTCTAGAGTGGGAATGAAAAGGGGCAGACAGGAGAGGGGTATCCCATAACCTCTGCTTTTGTAAATCCACCTTCTTTTTGGCTGAACCTGGTCCTAGTTGAACGAGGGGGCCCCATATCAACTCTTAGAAACCTGGTTGCTGGTTGGGGGAGATAGCCTGAAAATGAGGGTGTGTCCAGCGCCGAATAAAGGTTACGTACTTTTGCATGCCACCCCCCCCCCCCGAAAAGGTCGGATTAGGCTGCCACCTCCAGGGAAAAAAAAACCGTGCCGCCATGGCACAAAATAAGGGGAAAGCTTTTCCTCTCCACATCCACTTTAGTAGAGTCGTTTTCCCTAGTGACCAAAAGCCAAACCCAAACTCGAGTGAGACGCAGTCGATGGGCCCCAAATGGTCCAAGTACAAGGGGGACGGTAGCCGTTCCCCCACAAAAAAAAAAACCCCCCACTCAGGGGAAAAAAAAAAAGAGCTTAAAAGGGGGGGGTTCCACAAATACACCCCTAACCTAAAAAAAATATTAAACTGACTCTTAAAAAGAGTCTGCAACACATTTTTTTTTGCCGGAAATGTACTGAATTTTGAAATTGAGGGTGCAGCCTGAGGTCCAACGCAAACCCTTGTGTTGTGTTTTCAGGGTTGGAGATGATAACGGGTTGTGATCACTGTAGACGTGACCACTTGCGAGTTGGCCCACAAAACCGAAATGTTCCAAACCCAGTACCACGCGGGGTTCTTTTTCAAGGGTAGGGGTAAGCTCTTTGATGTGGGGGAAACTTGGCTGAAAAGATGCTACGGCTGCAACTCCTTGTTCCCGATTTGTAATAGTCCGCCCCAAACCCCCAGACTCACAAGCATCAACCTTTAATGAAAAGGTTTTGGAAAAAGTCTGGGACGGGAAAATGGGTGCAGAGCACATAATTTTTTGCTTTTTTAAAAACAGTGTTAAAATTGCGCCCAATTTAAAAGGGAATTTTATGACTGGTAAGAGAGGTAAGGGGGGCTCAATATTGAGAAATTTTACAGAATTTCTGAAAAAATCCTATCATGCCTAGGAAACGTTAAAAGAGTTTTCCTATCATGGGGAAAAATGGATAATTTTTAATCAAAAGAATTTAGCAATTTAGGTGCAACATTCCCACTACCACTTCATGGCCCTAGAAAAGTGATAGGGGCCCGGGCCCAAAAGGAAGATTTAGAAAATTAATGTTAATTGGGAATTCAAGGTTCAAACGGTTTAAGTTAAGTGGTGTTGACCCCAAGTATAGACACCAAACAATACATCTAGGTATGCTGCCGTGCCTTCAAGCCCTTTTTTAATACCCTGATGGAGGTTTTTTGGGAATGAAGAGGGGGAATTTTTCTTTCCCAAAAGGGGGTTAACTGTATATGAAAATGACCCCGGGAATTAAAAAAGGCAGAGATTTTCCTTTCGCTTATCTGTCAAAGGTCCCTGATAGAACCCTTTAAGGAGATCTAATTTGGACACAAAAGTAGCCTTACCACAAAGTCAATTACGTTTTTCCAGACGGGAAGAGGGTAAGCATCTGTAATTGGCCCTGTTCACTTTAGGGTTTAGTCTGTGCACATCAAAAACCCCCCATCACCCTTCTTTACTAGGATGCACGGTGAACCCCAGGGATGATGACTCCCCCATAAACCATTTTTTAAACAAGAAGTCTACTTCCTGTGAAGTAGCCTTTGTTTTTGGATTGCTCTTAGGGGGGAGTTTAATTGGTTTGTTTTTCCCAACTACTTGGGTAACCAACGTACATTTTTTCGGCACATCCGAAAAAATAAGGATTAAATGTAGAAGCTCAGTTAAATTTTGTTGCTTGTATTTCAGAAAATCATCCATTAAAGGCTAGGATCCTTGGGGAGGACGAATTAAATTTTAGTTTTAATTTAGGTAGAGTGCAAAGAGTCAGAGTCGTCCTAGAGTAGGGAAAAAGTCATTACTGGGATTTTATCTGGTGTATGAAAGGCCTTGTTTGATTAATGTGGTAAGTTTTGTTTTTGAGGTCTTACAAGGGGGAGCTACCAATAATTTAAATCGAAAATTACTTATATCGGCTGGTCCGTAAATCTAGCTTTCAAGGTGTGGCCAGGTATAGGTTCCTGCACCAACACCTTGTCCCCCGGGATGGAAGGAGCGGAATTGTGCATTTTGTCTCCCTCTGTTTCATCTTCTTTAGTATCTTTGGTTTAGCCGTGGCTAACTCACGGCCCCCTGCACCTTGAAGGGGTTGTAGGTGCTGAGCTTACGTCTTTCCCATCCATTTTTCTTTGAGACCGAAGAGGCCCTCACTTGTGCCCAAAGTCAGCTCAACGGACTATACCTGTAGACTCTTGCCCCGTCTCTGTATGAGAATAGCAAAACGGTAGGATCATCCAAACTGTCGGGGAAAATGCATGCAAAAACTTTTCTCATTGTTTTTAATGTTTTTGGGGGAATCTTTCCAAAAGGCGCCTTGGGATGAGGGGGATAGGGAGTGGATAAGTTTTTGAATTATCCCCAACCTAGTTAATACTTCCCCAAATTTTTTGGCAGTGAAATTAGACCTTTTCATTTTTTTAGTTTTTGGAATGCCCAAAAAAGAAATGAATTTTGTTAAAGCTTTTAGAAATAGCTTTAGTATTGATACTCGCATTGGGATTGCTTCAGGATATCTGGTTTTTTTTATCCCTAATTGTAAATAAATATGATTTCCAGACTTTGACTTAGGTAGTGGACCCACACAATTTAATTAAAACTGCAAAAAGGTTCTCCATCAGCGGTATGGGTTGGGAGGTGCAGGTTTTTGGAATTCCGGGTTTTCCCCACTTGCGACATTTTTGGGAAAAAAAAAAAAGGGGAAAAAAAAAAAAAAAAAGGGAAAAGGGAAAAAAAAAAAAAAAAAATTTTAAAAATTTATTAATTTTAAAAAAAAAAATTTTTTTTGGGGAAAAAAAAAAAACCAAAAATATTTTTTTTCCAAAATAAAACCCCAAAAAAAACCCCCCCAAAAAAAAATTTTAAAAACCTTTTCCCCAAAATTAAAAAAAATTGGGAAATCTTTTTCAAACTGGGAAAATTTGGAAGGCTTGATCGGGGTTGTTCACTTGATTTTTTACGGGGGGGGTCCGGCCGGTTTGTGTTCAAATAAAAAAACGTGGCTATTTCCCAGATCGGAGTCGTCCAAGGAATAGGTAAAAATTCTCCCCCAAAAACCCCTTTGGGGGTGTTGCCGAGTTTTTGGCAACACTGGGAAGCATTATCTTATGGTTCAGGACCGAAAATAACAGTAGTAATGTTATTACCCCTAATTAAATGGCATTTTTCATGGGAAACCTTTGAGATCCTCAGTCAAGTACCAGGTAATATTTGCACTGTACATAAATTTTATGCAAGGAAATGAATTATGCTCCCCCGTAAGCTTCCCAAAAAAACTGAGGAATTCAAGGAATATTCTTGAAAGGGGTAATATTCCCTTTTCTGAAAAGTGAGCAAAAATGCTCCAGATTCTAAAGGTATTTACTTTTGTTGGTTTGAGTTTTCCTGAAGGGAAAAAAGACTTTTTGCAATAATAAAGGGGCCCTACCTTTTTTCTTCTTAGGGGCATGTTATGGGGGTATTAGAGATTTTCCGTGGGTTGAGGTTTTTGAGGGCAGTTGGGAATGATGTGACCCACTTTTTTGATTGAAGCAGACGACAGGCTTGCCCTTTACTCCTGATGACGTTTCAAAGTGGTGTCGTTCTGGTTTGGGGCCCCTCTGGTATTGTTTTCGAGATGCCCTAAGTTTTGCCTCTCCGCAGGGGGGACCATATGTTGAGAAGCGTGGCTCACCCGGTGACTTATTTGGATGAGTAGCGCTCTCCCCCCTGTGGCACTTCATTCTCCCCGTTGTCGATCTTGTCCGCCAGACTGTTGAAAAGAGAGACAGGACCCGCTCGGACAAGGGGGTTTGTTTCGAAGGTATCAGCAACCTGGCCGCCCCCCAATGCGTGGGTTAATGATCTGCAGAAAGCACGAACCCCTGGTCCCACGATCCGAGGTTATCAAACAGAAAAAGCTGCCCAGCTCCTAAAGTTTAGGGACCCACTCGTTTTACCGCTGGTAAAAGCTTTGGTTTTCTGTCTCAAAAGTCCCCGGGATTGACCAAGTGCCCCTGTTAATTTTGAAGGTCTTACGAATTTAGCTGGGGGTACATGTTATGCTCCCCAAATTTTGGTCTTACTACTTGATAATCAGAGAATTCAGGTCAGTTAATACCGACGTAAATTCTGTGCCTTACCCAATAAAAGCTGTATGAACCAACGTGCCCAGTGCTTTCGGCCACCTAGGCTCAGCCTGATTTTCGAAGCTTTTGAAAAAATTGCTCTGGGTTTGGCCTCATTTTAAGCGGGGGGAAAAAGTGTACTGCTTTTTGTAAATGAA